TTTTTTTTTTTTACTTAGCGTTTTTTTACACGGAGTTGACGTAGTGTTTTTGTTGAGATCATATAATAACCTAGTACTGGGGTCACAAAATGGCGACCCGCGAATGCATTTTAACCAGCCTGCAGACTGAGAGAAAAAGCCAATAATTTAATTATATTTTCATTAAATTTAGTTAAATAATTAATAAGTGTATATTTTTTTATTTAGAAATAAAATATTTTTGGCCAACCAGCATATTATAATAAATATTATGTACTCTTTGAATTTTTATGGCCCGCGAGAATTTTCCGAATTCTTAATGTGGCCCGCGGAAAATATTAATTGGTGACCCCTGACCTAGTATATAAGATGTCTGTATATTTTAATAAATATTGATCTTAAAACATATGTGTCTGGTACTCTGGTTAACTCACGGAGCTCCTAAGAAGTTTTTCAATCACAAGAAAATCAACGAGCCTTGAATTAAAAAAAAATTCGTTTTTGAAAATCAGTATCTTAAAAACAGTATCCAAATAGCCATTTTAAGATGTATATTTTTTCAGTGTTTAAATAGCTAATGATTAAATATATCACGAAAAAATTGGTGTACTGTATAGTATACAATATATTGTAAATATCCTTACAAAAGGAAACATATAATAATGATTCTTTTATCATTAGGTGACTATGAATACTAGATATGCTCTAATGTTTCATAAAATTAATTTTGATTAAATATAAAAAGAATACAGAACGTATAGATACAACTGTCCGTTGTAAAATTACTTTAACAATGGGTACATCAATAATTAACCATCCAATAAAATAATCCTAAAACCACTAATATCTCAATATGACTAGTCTACAAACTCTCCCAATTGAGGAATAGTTATAAGATGACGCTACACCCGCATAAAATGTTGTCTTTATCTTACAAGTGCATAACATGGCAAATTTTACATTCGGCAGATCACGTTTTACCACGTTAGTTTAAAATTTAGAGTGAATTGACCTCTTGTAAAAATTAAAGGTAAAATTATTATTGAGGACTTTTTATTACATTTTAATTTTGCTATGTGTATTTAAAATTTAAAATTGTTTGTATATCTTAAAATACTCGTAACTCGCTTTAAAATTAAAACCTTATAAAAAACCTAAGAGAAACTCTCGATAATAATATTACCTTTAATTTTTATAAGAGTTCAATTTACTCTAAATGTTAAACTAACGAAGCTAAACTTGATTTGCACGTTGACACACTTGTAAGACGGAAACAACACGTCATGAGGGTGTAGCGTCTTCTTATAAACCCATTATATTTTATAAAAATACCTTGAATAAGATCTAGTAATGAAATAAATTATAAGATAGTCACATAAAAGATAATAGACGTACCTACTTAACTTTTTTAAGCCGAGTGATGAATGATGGTTCTACATTAATGACATTTTTATTTGTGTATAATTATTAATTAGTCATTACGTTTTGAAATATAAAATTTTCACCCTATTGGTATTAGGTATTTTAGAATGATCCTGTCATGGAATAAATATATTCAAAATATTTTTACAAACAATTTTTGTTATTTTAATTCTTTTTAAAATTTAAAAAAAATTAATCGTAGGGAGGGCTTCAAAATCTCATACCTCTCATAATAATACAAATAATAAAATAATATAAACTATTATCTTTAAAATTATATGCTGAATTTTGATACAACCGATCACAATATCTACCTACATATTATACAGAATATATATAATATATATAATAATTATCCTCCACAGTGTCCTTATATTAAGTACTAGATACAGATACTCGTAACCTATACTGTGCGATAAAAGCGAATTCGACGATTTTATTTTTGATGCTAATATATTATGTAACCATTGGTCTTTGAATTTTTTTAAATACATTTTAAAAGATTGTTTTATCTTGTTTTATACACTTTGGTAATTTTTTTTTTAAAACCATAATTTCTACCATAAAAATAATTATTGATTATTCTTAAAATTACTAATAAACAATTGGAATATAAATGAAAAACTTAAAATTTAAGTTTG